ACAGTCTCTTGCCCTGCTGTGCGGTGGTTACTTGGCTAGGGGACTCAGGGAGAGCCCTTGTACCTGGGCCCTTGTACCTGGGGAGACTGAAGACAAAAGCCAGGTTTAAGTGCCTTTGCCAGTCTGGCCATGAACATATGTCACCCCTTCATTCCTAGGGGCTCATATTATGCCAGTCACTTCCTGCCTCCTCCCAAGGTGCTTATTTACCAAACTACAATCTTGCATCCTTTTTAGACATGCAGATTTGATAATCTGATGTTAATCTGATATGCAGCCTCTCCTCTGACAGTTTGACCAGCTAGGTGTTAGGCTTCTTGGAGGCATGGAGGACCAAAACACAAATCAAGTCAAATGCTAATTCTCAGCCATTTCCTCTTCTAAGTGTGAACAGTTGTGGGCTGTTGTATCAGATACTGTAACATACACTGATAAGAGAACAATAGAAGCAAATACAGCTTCACGCTAGCTATTATTAGAGACCAACCACCCCAATATTAAACCTAATTTGGGAAATATCCATGCAGGCCACGTGGTGAAACCCCCAGAGTAACTTTGTCTTGGGGTACCTCAGTGACAACTGCAGACCCAGTTTTCATATTGCTATGCTTCATTTCTCACACTTCTCTTAAAGCTTCATTGCAAATGGTTTATTAAAGCTTAATACATGAGAGAAGCATGTTGTAGGCATGAACGGTATATGTTACTGTTACCAGCACATCAGTAATAGCAAAAAAGCAATTTAGAGACCTATTGGACAAAAGATGAAACCCCTGTTAATTGTTTCTTGGCCTCTTGTGAGCTATTTAGAAAGGGAATGCTATCATAAATGATATGGTTTACAAGATTAATATAACATGGTGACTGCAGTGATGTGACTCGGGAGTTCCTTTCCAGCTTGTGCTCTGCAGATAACTATAACAGTATAACAGAGCTTTCTCACCTGGTGATGAAATTTTGACTTGGTTACCTGAGATGGGATATGAGGTATGTGCGTTATTCCGTGGGTTTCACTAATGCAGTGTTTCCCAACATTTTTTAGACTCAAGGCATCCTTCAGAAAATGCCAGGTCTTCATTTTTGCTTGGTTTTTGATTATGGAAAAATCATACAGCAATTTTTTTGTTGTTGTTGGGAAAAATGCAGAAAACCCACAATGGGTCAGAATGTTTTTAATGTTGTGGATTCCTATTTCAAATCTCTGGGTTTATCTTCTGAATTATATTTGCACGCCTAACAGTGCAGACACTGCAAACACCTTGAGACACCCTTAAAAGGATCTCATTGCACTGCAGGGAACTGCAGCCCCCTGGTTGGGAATCATTGCACCAATGTGTCCTCAGATCCTTCCTTGCAAAGCAGGTTAGTGTCACTATGTCACAACTGAGGCTCACAAAAGGAAAGTGTTGGTACTTTGGCCATAAACCTTTTCCTGATCCACACCCTCAGCTTATGCTGTTGAGAGGATTGGTTTTACCTGCTCTGTGCCACCAGGGAATACCCACCACTCACTCCAGATTGCCTTCAGTCTGCACTGCTGTGTCCGAGTGACGTGAGCCAGACTTTACGGGGCTTGCAATCGCTGTGCTTGTGTTGAGATAGCAGCTGAAATCTCTAGTCCTGGACCAGGACCCTGCAGCGAAAGATGCTGTACAAACACAGGATATCAAAATAGTCCCTGTCCCAGTGAGTCTACCCAGCCAGTTTCCCCTGCTGTCCCTGTAGGTCTTTCACTTGTCATTGTAGAAGACAAAACTGCTTTAAGTAACAAGGAAAGGTGGGTGTAAATGGCTGGCAAGGATGGGGTCTGAAACTAGTCTTAACTCACTTTTTGCAACTGCTCCCCTGATGAGAACGGAATGAATAAAGCAAGGAAGTCTTGCCCGCTGCCACGTTGGTGGCTTGTGGTTTCCACTCAGAATGAGGCAACCTGTCTGGCTTAGGTCTTTTTGAACCTAAAACTCAGAATGAAACCCAGTGGCTGTGATTCCCATGTGATCTGAAACTGAGAGGTCTGTGTCCCTGTGAACCAAACCCCTGGAACTGCAGCACACAGTCTCACAGCTGTCAGCCGGGAGATGTCCCCAGAAAGTTTCCTCCTATCCATATCAGCTCAAAGAATAAATATGTTAGATCCTTCTGCTCAGATGCCTCCTGTCTCCTGGGTGTTTTCAGCACTGCAGACTGGCCAATGTCCATCCAGAGCAGATACACTTAAGCTGTATCTAATTTAGGGGAACTGAGACTGAGTTAGATGGGTGGTGGAAACTGGGTTTTACAGCAATGCTTCCTCCTTTAATAATCAACTGGGGTCATACACACCAAGGCAAGCCTCATCATGCACTGGGTTGGTGTATCTACATGAGGACTTTGTACCAGTGAACCCATAGCAATGTAGTTAAATCTGTTCACATTCTCCCCTTTATGCATAAGAGTTTCTCTCCCCACTCCCAGGATAAACTCCAGACAGGAACTCTGGGTGACTTGTGCAATGGACTGACTCATGCGGGGGCAGGGGAAGAAGCCTGGGTACGCAGGCTCGGCCCACAGCAGGATTAGAGCCATTGCTGGGAGAGTAGCTGAAGGGTGAATAGCAAGGGGAGGGACAGGTGGCACTGCAGCAGGAACACCCCTGCTGTCTGGGGAACGCAGCTTGGCTCCCGCAGGGGAATTGCTGCTCCCTCTGCAAGACTCCACTCAGCCAAACCTTCCCTGCCAGCCCAGGGTGGAGCTTGCTTGCTGCCTGCCTGCAGCTCCAGAAGGAACGGAGAACTGCAAGGCAGGGGAGAGGAGAGAGAGCAGATCTAGGACTCTGCCAGTAGCTTGCAGATGGAGGAAGGGAAGCAGGGGACACAGCTGGAAGAATGAATAGGCCCATGAGCCCCAATGATGCTCCCCTGCTGTGTCCCCAGTAGCCTTAGCCACCACCCTTGACTCTCCCAACTATCTGTGTGGTGAAACATTGGGAGCCCTTGTGGAAACCTGCTTGTCAGAGCTAACATAACTGGGACTTTGGGCTTTAAAAGAGCCAGGCCTGAGTGGAACCTGAATCTTGCCCCTTTCCCTCTTCCCAAGGATCCAGCTTTCCTCTCAAGCTCATCACTTGCTGGGATTGGCTGCGGGGGTCAGGGCAGCGAGATCGGCTGCGGGAAGACCCTCCCCCCATCAGCAGGACTGGTCACAGGGGGGGCACATGCCCCCACTGACTAAGGCAGCATGAGTTGCCCATGCTAGGAATGGACTTTGGCTCCAATAAATATGTGTTCTTAGTGATAAGTTAAGGGTGTAAATATTTCAGCTGAATGAAGGCCTTATGTATGTGTGTGTGTGTGTGTGTGTGTGTGTGTGTGTAGGCATGTGTGAGTCTGCAGTGTATTTACATGAACGGGTGTGTTTGTGAGAGAGTAAACAGTCACACTGGACTTTAAACCATCAGTAGGTATACAGTAGATCTACACAAGTAAGCACGTGCACTCACAATAGATGTCAAGCCTGTTGCATGTCTTTGACACAAGTGTGTTTGGAAATCTGTATGTGCTTCCTAGAGATCTGAACCGGGGTGTCAAATGTACGGTCCAGCCCACAGGCTCTGTCTGGCCCACGGTGCCATATCACCCAGCCCACAGGGTTCCCAGAGGGGCTGGGAATTCAGAGCTGAGATGAGCTGGGAGGTGAGCATCAGCAGCGGTGGGGGTAATACAGCCATCACTGCTGCCGCTGTCACTGTCTGGGTTCAGCCAAGGAGGCTCCTTGCAGTCCAGGTCCAGTCTGCAAGCAGATCCAGCCTAGGGTTGCAAGTGAGTTTGACACCCCTGATCTACACAAATGAGTGTGTGTATACACAGTAGAGTTATACAAACAAGTGTATGTCTGGCTTCACAATAGATTTATATGCATATACATGTGTGTGAAGCATTTGTGAGTCTTTTCATCTTTGTTTAACCAGGTGGAGCTCACGGTTGACCATATAACAGAAGCCTCCGCAGGTCTTGGCTCAGTGCCCTATCTGTCCAAGTTACTTCCCTTTGCCCTGACCTTGACCATGGAAGGCAAAGATGAAATCAGTGACACAGACAGTGGGATCATACTACAGTCAGGTAAGTGACTCACGGTGGGAATTCCAGTGCCCTGCAGGAGGATGCACTTGTGTTGTGCTCTGTCTGGAAGTGCAGTGCATCTTCTGGGAGCTCTGGGAGGAAGGTGTACAGGTAGAGGCTAGTGTATGTCTTTTGGGAAGTCTTTGGGAGTTCCCTTTCTAGCTACCAACTGTGACTTGATTTCGCTGAGCAAGGCGCTGCTTTTCCAGGGGGATTTGTGGGCACCAAAGTGCCAGTGCATCACCCATATGCTGTGCAGGATACTGGAGACATTCCTGAGCTAACTAGCTCAGGTACCAACAGTCATCAAAGCAGCTTGGAGCTCAGTGTTGACTGCTGTCATACGACTATTTGTACAGTCTCGCAGGTGGTTTTGCACGGCTTTGCTGCTGTTGTGACTGTGGTTAGACTGCTTATCCTGTAGTCACACAGTAGCTACAATGCAGACATACTTGTACTTGCCCAGTCATTGCAGGCCAACCTAAAATGCTGCATGGGAACATAGTGTAGCTGACTTAGAAAGGCTTGTGTGGTTGCAGAAGGAAGACCAAAAGTCAGAATATCACCTGTCTGCTCCACAAGGATTGATATTTTAACTAGAAACCTCACAAGTTATCAGTGATTTGTGCACAGTGCCCAAGAATAAAATTTACAGCTCTAAGAACACAGCCATATGGGGTGAGGAACTTTTCTGCACCTTTCCACGCTCTAGCCCCGTTATCTCCAGCTCCCTCCAGCTGCTCAATCAGTGCTCTGTCCTATTGAGAAGCTGGCCTCAAAGAAAAATACTGGTGCAATGAAAGATGAGATGTCAGTCTCTCTTGCCCAGGGAGTCACAGCACTCAGCACATCCCATCTGAAAGCCCTTTTCTTACCCCGGTTCTTTGTCTAGTAGTCTGTTAAACTCAGCAAGGTTTTCACTCACAACAATTAAGGCTCCCCATGTTATCTGCGATGACCTGGGGCTGGTTACAGCCGATATAATCATTGCAAATCACGCTAGGGAGTGTGCAGTGACCTCTGGTTGGAGGCTCCAGAGATGGACCATGCCAGCACCAGCACCTTATGCTGCTCACCTGGGTGCCATGGAAAAGGAGCAGCACTCAGTTCACATGCTGATCAGGGAACACTCTTGGAGACCATAAAAGCTAAATCTCGGAGACCATAAAAGCTAAAGAGGCGGTAGTCATGGGGGACCTAAACTACCCGGACATCTGCTGGGAGTCACAGACAGCAAAGTCCCACCGCTCACGCAGGTTTCTAACCTGTGTACAGGACCTCCACCTGACACAGGAGGTACACGGTCCCACTAGGGGGAATGCCATACTGGATCTGGTATTGGCAACGGGGGATGACATGGTAGGGGACCTGCAGATCGGTAGCCATCTGGGGGACAGTGATCACCTAATAATAGAATTCACCATAAGACGTCGAGTGGGTTAGGTAACTAGTAGGGTGAAAGTGCTAGACTTTAGGAAAGCTGATCTCAATGAACTCAGGCGATTAGTCAAGGACACACTGCAGAGTAGGAGTTTTGAAGTGATGGGAGCCCAAGAAGGGCGGCTGTGCCTTAAGGAAACGATCCTTCGGGCACAAAGCAAGACGATCCCCGTGCGAGGTAAAAGAGGGAAAGGGGCCAGGAGGCTTCCCTGGCTGACCAGAGAAATCCAGGGCAGCCTAAGGGCCAAAAGGGGAGCGCATAAAAAGTGGAAACAGGGAGAGATCACCAAAGATGAATACACCTCCTCGGCTCGTGCTTGTAGAGAGGCAGTTAGACGGGCCAAAGCTACCATGGAGCTGAGGATGGCAACCCAAGTAAAAGACAACAAGAAATTGTTTTTTAGATATATTGGGAGTAAAAGGAAGGCCCAGGGAAGAATAGGACCCCTGCTAAATGGGCAGAAACAATTAGTGATGGACAGAGGGGACAAGGCTGAACTCCTCAACGAGTTCTTTGCCTCAGTGTTCCTAAGCAAGGGGCACGACAAGTCTCTCACTGGGGTTGTAGAGAGGCAGCAGCAAGGCACCAGACTACCACGCGTAGACCCTGAGATGGTGCAGAGTCA